AGGTCATTATTCTTATTGGTGGTAATAGCAACCAGGCGTCTGAGGAGTTCAGGGTGATGTGAGAAATTTTTTGTTTGTTGTATGTTTTATTTATATTTTATTTTTTTATTTTTTGGATTTAAGACTATTTTACCATTGTTAGCATTATATATAAAAACATTTTTTTTAATATATAAAATGGGTATATTTATTGAGAGACCCCTCATTCCTATCACAACCACCCACCACCGCTGTAAAGAAAGTAAGTAAAGACAGTAAGTCTCTCTACATGTTCGTATGTTTCTCTACAATGAACCATTTCACATCAAAACACTCTGATTGACTTTGTTTATATCTCAAAAATTGAATTATGCAAACCTTTTGAAAACTGTGCAATGCCCCTTTAAGTCTTTCAGATTCAAATGTTGTTGCATCACAGCTCTCCTGCTGGTCAGATTTTCCTGATTCTCTTCCGCCTTCCCACTGAATACAGTCTGTCATATCTTTGTCATAACGTAGCACCAGTGTACTGTTTCATATGTGAGAACTTCTAAAGGCTCGTCCGCCCTACAGTGCCACACAGTGGCCACCGCTGGAACAGCAGGCTCAGCAAACACATTCATCAGCTCTGCTAAATTTGCTTTTGCATGAATACTCTGATTTGAAGCAGATTATGCACACATGAACATATGTGTACACATGAACTGTAATGCACACGATCATATCAAAAGCAGAGTAGCATTCATTAAGGTCAGCCTAAATAAATAAATAAATTAAAATCATAAGGAGAATGGAGCATCTTCATTGATTTCTGTCCACCAGAGCAAAAAAAAATCGTTCTCTTTATCACATACACAAGGCTGGAGTGTCCTAGATCCTGGCAGTGGAGGAAGGCAGCCAAACACAGGCCTGTGTAATAAAAAGATCCTTGATCCTGAAGTATCACATAACTGAAGTATGATTGCTCAGTTTCAAATAAATAGTGGCAGTCAAATAAAACAGTGGCTGGCTAGCTTTCTCTCTCTCTCTCTCTCTCTCTCTCTCTCTCTCTCTCTCTCTCTCTCTCTCTCTCTCTCCCTCTCTCTCCCCCTCTGTGCTGTAGTACCACATTACCAGGGTGATTTCCTCTAGAAGTACACCTGTGAAAGCATGTGCAAAAGCCCTGCAAGAAAAATATTGTGTTCTATAAAACTTCTCCATAATCGGGCCAGGTGCAATAAATCGAGGGGCAGAAATATTAAGTGGGGCCGATATTTCCTGGTCTCTCTCCAGCCCTCCTAGTAAAAATCACCAGTCGTCAAATGACCTCAGTGCTTAAGATATATATCACAGAGCACCCCCACCCTCCAAATAAATAAATAAATACATACAAAAGGCAGAAGAAGGGGAAAATGCCGAAAGCATGCAATGAACTGCCTAGTCGAGCCGAGTGGATAATCCAGTCATTTTCATTCAGAGAGGTTAGATGTGAAATGGACGGGTCATAATGACTACAGCACAAATACAGCCATTTTACTTACTATCTTAAGTGACCTACACATGAGTTTTTATATGTTATGTTGACAATAATAAAACAGTCAACATTTTTGTCAGGGACTATTTTTCCTTACAACAAATTGCGTGTACCCCTCCACCATGAACAGATTTATTCTTTTTTATCTGAATATTATCACAAAACAGTGTTCATTTGAAGCTCTCTGTGAAGGAGCTTTTAGAGGCATCAAATGGTTCAGACGTCTGGTTCCTATCACCACTGTTGAGAAAAATTTTGACTCGATAACTTTCCTGAGAATGGATCATTTCACATCAGAACACTTTAAATGACTTTGTTTATGATTAATCTTAATGATTTAATTATACAGATTTTGTTCTGTAAATTGATGGAATTCCACTGTAAAATACATACATTTTCCTGCAATTTATTTATTTATTTTTTTGCTTGAGGTCCACATAAAAAATTGTGTAGTTTTAAATAATTTTATGCATTTTACATTTTCCAGCCTTCTGAATTAAATGGGCTGTTTTTTGCTGCTGTGCCTTTTGAGATTGATATGCAATTGGCCACTGCTCTGGTTGGCCATCCTGTTTCAAAAAACAGTCCTGGCTTAAACATTCCTTATAACTTCAGTGTGAATGGGCAGGGCTAAACTGCTATTAGCTGAATATATGTAAATAAGTTGGTTCTAGTGACATCACAAAAACAATAAATACAAAACAGGCCGCTTGCCTCGTGTTTCCATATACTGACCATATGGCAGGGGATCGGCAACCCAAATGTTAAAAAGAGCCATTTTGTCTTTTCACCAAAAATCAAACCACCTTGTGAGCCACAACATTTTATGTCCATTTTAACTTTTTGGCTGTAAATATGGCAGTATGTGCTAATGTACTACTATATGCTAAAAAATATAATTTAAACGAAAATGCAGACTTTGCTTTAGCTCAGCTATAGCCCATTTCTCACATCTCTGGCAGGAAACTTTTTCTTAAAAATAGAACAGTTTCTTGAAAAATGTCTCAACATTCAATTTTTTACGAGGCTGAACTCAGCTTCTCATTCACCAGCTTCCTGTTCGAATTTCCCCATTTCACCTTAAATGGCGCCTGAGGTGCCAGAATGTTACTGCTGCACCATTTCAGGTGGAATGAGAGAATTCGAACAAGAAGCTGACCTCAGCTTTGTGACTTTTTCGTTTTTGGCAGTTTCTCGTTGAAGATTAAATGTATCAGGAAACCAGCTGGAGCACTTATTAATGCAAATAAGTCTGTCTCCAAATTATCAGTGCATCATCTTAAATCTTTCTCTTTGCCTTTTCGTTAGCCACTAGCTAGGCGAGATTGTTATCTGCGTTGCTATTAAACCAGCAGTCTGCGCACCAGCCTTCAAGGCTAAAGGGTGAATTAGCAGATATAGGCTACATTAACTGCAGCGTTTAAGACCATTTAGTGTTAAAACTGCGTTAAAACAATCAGCATGATTACCTACAAATTTAATTCTACTGTGGAGCCGGAATAGGGCAGTAAAAGAGCCTCACGTTGCTGACCCCTGCCCTGTGGTGTAGAGAGTAAATGATCTGTCTTGAAACTTTAATTATGTTTACATATAACATCAAACTCTTTCATTTAAACAGAAAAACAAGGGAAATTCAGTTTTCCCTGATGTGGGCCCTTTAAGAAAGGTGATCTTTATTCACCCTATGCTGCTCACTATGGTCATTTGATGTGATGATGTCTGGATAAGGACAAACACATTACAGCAAACCCATCCCAATGGCATTTTCAATATTCATTAGATACCAAATTATGCAAAGCAGGCTTATGGAAGACAGTAAAAGCATTTATAAGGGAGAGACTGCAATTATCCATGACTTATAAAAGCAGAGTGCGGCACAGGCAGCAAGTCAGAGACTCTCCCAAGGACATCAGAGTGAGATTTCTGTCTTTCTCTTTTCAATCGTGCTGCATGCAAGAGCCACATCTGTTCAACGTAACGCAGCGCTATGTGTGAATAGGGCTGATTTGGCCTCCTCCTACATACACGTGAGTGTGTGTATCTCTCTCTCTCTCTGTCTTGCTCTCTCTCTCTCTCTCTCTCTCTCATATACACAAACCCCAGCACCCGCTCAGAAAAGCTGATAAGCTTATTTCACAGAGCACTAGAACACACAGCCTCTGGGACGCACTTCCCTTTGTAAATGGAGAATTCACCCAGGAGACGTTTCGCGGCAGCCCGATCAATAAAGCCCTTAATTAATATACACACAAACAGCATACATAACAAATCATGATATACAGATTAAGTGTATGTCCAGGAAAAAAAGCACATATTAGAATAATGCGCTGCTTTTGTTTGTGCTTGGGGGAAAAAAACATAATTTATTGATCAAAGAGACACAAAGTCATACAAAAGGGAATATTTTATAGCATCGTTTTCTCAATTATGTCCATGAACCAATGAATGACAAAAGCTCAGACTCCTCCTTAGTCCTGAGCTAAGTGTCCAAGAAATTGAAACCAATCAAGAACATCCTAGAGAGCACTCTTTATAGTATAAACAGTGAAGATATTGACTGTCTGCCATAAAAAAAACTATAGTCTCAAATTAGATTACAGTCCCAAAATTATAGCCTTAAATTCAGGCCATAATGGCATCTTGTCATGAATGATCGGATGAGAGAACATTCAACATAATTTTTATAGCTGGTAAGCAAATTGTGATACTGATGAAGTGAGTCGGTCAAGAAACAGAGAGAGACGCAGCACAACGTGGCAAGGATAAAGGAACTGATTTGTGGGGAGGCGGGGGGGGGGCAAGTGTCAATTCAGAAAGAGAGAGGGGGCTTTAGAGGAAGGAAGAGTGGGAGACTGGCAGAGAGAGAGAGAAGAGAGAGAGAGATAGAGACAGACTGTCTCAGTGAGTAGGGTGTTAGCTACTGCTGTCTCTTTAAGCTGCCTAGCTCCTCCTCCTCCACACGGCTGGTGAGAGAGAGAGAGAGAGAGAGAGAGAGAAAGAGAGAGAGAGAGAGAGAAAGAGAGAGAGAGAGAGAGAGAGAGAGAGAGAGAGAGAGAGTGGTTTCTGGCAGTAGAAGCCTGAGCCACTCGATAAAACTCCTGCTTCTGGCAGCCCGCGTCCGAGGGAGAGCGAGGAAGGGACGGGGAGAGATAGAGAGTGTGGAGAGAGAGAGAGAGAGAGAGAGAGAGAGAGAGAGAGAGAGAGAGAGAGAGAGAGAGAGGGCGAGTGTGTGTGTGAGCGTGTGTGTGTATGTGTGTGTGTATGAGCATCCACAGGATTCTCTCGCGGAGGCAGAGGCAGAGGCTGCATCTCTTTCTCAGACACAGGCTGTCGTCACGGGCGACGGGAGGTGTCTCTTGCACGGCGTCGCCGTAGCGACGGGAGGCGGCAGCATCAGCACCAGCAGAAACAGCCAGCCGTGCTGTCGCCGCAGCAACGCAGAGCTTCCTCGAAAGGCTGGAGAGGGAGATAGAGAGAGAGATAGAGAGAGAGAGAGAGAGAGAGAGAGAGAGAGATCCAGGAGGTTCGCTCCCTTGCTTTCCACTCTTCCTCTTCTTTTCCTCCTCCTCCTCTTTCTCTTCTCCTGGCAGCTCCATCCTCGTGTCCACTGAGGGACGGCACTTGATGAACCCAGCAGGGACTGTTCTGGGGTGGAGTGGACAGTGAGTAGCTGAAAGGCAGAGGGGTAGGTGGTAAGGGAAAGGCACAGATTGGAAGCGTGAGAGGAAGCTCGAGCGTGAGTGTGTGTGTCAGAGTATGTGTGTGTGAGACAGCAAATGAGTGCCAGTGTGTGTTTGGATGGAAGCGAGCAGTGAAAGGACAAGCTTAAAAAGCGCTCCATCTTCACCTTAGTGGGAGAGGGAAAAGATGTCCTGTTACCCTGCTGACCCAGGGCACAGGTGACCCGCTGCATCCCCCCAAAGCCTGCTGGGTCGGGACTGGGTCAGGAAGTGCTTCCGAAGGAGGAATTTGGCATGTGCACTGGCTTCCGTACATCCGTCTCATCTTTAACCCTGTTTTTCACTGCTTTGTGTCCATCTTGGCGCTGACCAAAAATTGACGAAAACATAAAGAGTTGTCTCTATGAAAGATTGTGAGGTATAGGTTGAGAAATGAAAGATGGAGATGGTGAAAGAATGAGAGAAGATGAACTGCTCTCCTTCCTGTCTCCCTAGGTGCCATGTGAGGAGCCCCAGTGTAGCCTGTGGCAGCCGGCAGCAGCAGCAACAGCAGCAGTAGAAAGAGTGGGCTCTCCTGTCATTCTCCCCGCAGGAACGGGCATGGAATTTACCTCCTCTGGCCACTTCTGAAAAGGAAACTCGCACCTCCCTAGCATTTCTGGCTGGGGAATGATATCCTAGCAGACCGGATTTTGTACGCTTTCAAAGGAAATTGAATTTGAAATCGGTCTCTGGGCAACCGTTTACAGTATTTTTTCCAAAGAATCTGGAGAGCCACAGTTCCATCACCATGAGGAGAGGCACAACGGGAGATTTTGGATCAAGGACGTGCCAGTCACCCTGAAGAGCAGAGTGGGACTACACTTTACGCTTGTGCAAAAAAGTCATCGCACTCTTCCTCAGAGAACTCATATCGTGAGTATGGTTTTTAGATTTCGCTTGGATTTTGCTTGAATTGACTACAAAGTCTTTAGTTTTTTTTTGTGAGGTAGAAAACCGAAGGACATGTTCCAATCTCAAGGATTGCATGCAGAAACACCTCACTAACAGTTTTTTTTTCTGTTTTCCTGCAGGTTAACACACATTCAAAGAACTGGAGAACAAGAGATGTGTGCAGGACACTTGGAATATCTCGTCTTCTTGGAATCGGTTGCCTTTTCCCACCAATTGTCCTAAAAGATAGATTAACAAAGCTGGATTTTGTCCATTCTGTCCATTTGAAAGCAAAATCTTTTCTGAAGAATAGAGCCTTTCCTTCTTTGGTCTGGATTTTGTGTGGGTGTTCAAAGCGTACCACCACACGGGATGACAATCGTAGTGCCTCTTCCTTTTCAGTAGTCTCCTACAACTGAATATGATCTTCTGGTGCACCTACACATGCAATAGGCGAAAAGTATTCCACGGTCAACAGCAAGTAATTTTAGTTCAGATGTACCCATAAAGGCATAAAGGCACAAAGTCACAAAGACATCATGTAATGACCCATGAGACATGTACCGGTCCATTACCCTTGATTATTCTTAGTTTCACCGTTCCTGGATCCACCACCTTTTTTGGTTTTCTTGGATTTAAACTCTTCGATGACTCCCGCACCTTCCCTTGTGCCCACTTCTTCCTCCAGACATCCCACAGTGACCTGCGGGAGGAGGCTTGCCCCCAGGCCCCACCAGCTCTCCTGGCTGCCCGGGTGTTTTTAAGATGTTGAAGCCTGCCCGAGCGGCCCGAGCCCGAGATCGGATCAGTAGCACTGCGGCTCCCCCCGGTGGCCCCAGACATGGACCGCGGCTCGGCCTGTCCCCGCCCTCAGCCCTCCGCTCGCTGGCCCCTGCTCAGCCTGTGAAGGATGTCCAAGAGCGGAGCTCCTGCCCGGGAACCCTCTGAGACCCCCAGCCAGAGAGAGCGTATCCGCAGCCACATGAAGATGGTGATCGAGCAGCTGGAAGGCATTCTAAAAGAGCTAAAAGATGTGGCCAAAGAGCTGCGGGAGGTAAGACACAGGCTGCTTGTTTGGGGGTAGCAGGGCTTTCACTGGGGTTTTCTGGATTTTCTGGATAAGTTGGTTTCAGATGGCGGATGTTGGTAGTAGAAGGAGCAGACTTGCTTGACAGTATCGTTGAGCTGAAGCCTTAGTCTACACAATGCACAAATGAGACTATTACAGATAACTCTCCTCTATGAATACACACTTTACGAAGTAAGAGCACAAGAGTAAGGGTGCTTGAGAATTGCAGAACTTTGATCTACATATTCGGGCAAGCTGGCTGAAGTTAAGCATGCAAAAGCAATGGTAGGGCTTCAAGATGGCTGCTATGCAATGTACTCTGTTTTTACCATTAACAGTACATCATATATAAGCAAGTTTATTTGAGGATGCCTAACATGTGGTTTGAAGCAATGCTAATTGTTGGGGCTCTGTTACTTGTTAGCTACATTAGCCTCATAGCTCTGGTGCATAACTAAAGAAATTTCAGACAAAACATATACCACAGGTACTGGTACATTGTCCATTGATTTTTTTCAAGTATTTCAACACAAACTCATATTGGTTGATTGACTACACTGAGGTAAAGGGAAAATTGTGTAAACATGACTTTTTGAAAATCAATCACACTGATTGCTTTGGTCATAGAGGCCCAATGAAAGACCCTCTCAGACATGACCTGCCTAGCTTGAGAGTTTAGGTCAGAGATTGTCTTTGGTGTTAGAGACAGTGAGATATCTGATGGCTCTGTGCTAAACAGAAAGAAATTATGGTGCTATAAGCCAGAGCTATTGCTAGTGAAACTGTAACATATTTGGATGCCTTTAGATGAATGGAATAGAGGCTATGACATGTTTGGCCTAAATGATTTCAAGAGCTAACACTCAGTATTACAGAAATTCTGGAATTTTAGTCTGAAGCAAGATGGGTTTGGCTTGCTGTGGAGCTTAGGTCTGTCGCAATTACATAATTACATTATTGCATTTTTTTTTTTTTTGACTGATCACAATTATTTTCCACAGTTGTCAGCTTTCACAACCACAAATTTACATTGTAACAAACAGAATATGAATTTAGTACCTTTTCATTAGTTGGGTCAAAGCTGCACTGTGAATTTATATATAAATTGTATTTTTTTTATTAAAATTGGACTAAGAGCATTACAGAGCGGAGAAAAACACTCTAAAATACGCTATGCATGCACTGACCTGCAATGTCTGAAATAATAATTTAAAAGTTGTGTCAGATTTCACAGGGGTTGAAAAATGTCATACATCTTTACGTGTTAGTGTCATATGCACAGTCTCAGAAAGAGGGTCCAGCTCCATGTTTAGATCTCAAATGCAAAATCAACATTACACCGATCAAGATTTTATGATAACAGTAGATAATTTACTTACATCCTCAGGAGACACATCTTTCACCAAGTTCTCTTTGAATAATCTCAACGCACTCACAATCTTCAGATTCATCCACTCAGGGAAGTGGGTCTGAAGCACGATGCATGCAATTACACACTTCCACCAGGGAGGTCTCCAAATCACCAGATCTTACAACCTCAAGAGAAAAGCATGTAAATAAAAGAAAGCAGAAAACGTTTTAAATACATCTTATGAAATCTCAGAAACATCTATCTCAAGCTGTGTCTGTTGTCAGTTAGTAAGTATCGACAGCTAGGTAGCAAGATAGTTAATCAGCCAATTTGGCCATGTTTGGCTTGTATTTTAATAGCTGCATACTATGAACAAAAAGACAATTAACAGGGGAAATTTTCATGATTATGACAGGCCTAGTGGAGCTTGTGAGACTGAATGCGATACTTAAAACAGGCTGGCTAATGCCTGGACCCTTTTACAGCATAATACTCTCTAATACTGATCATCAGTGGTGGTAGGGCTGGTGGGGTGTCAGGGGAGGTGTAGGCTTATGGAGTGGGGGAAAGCAAGCACTTAATGTAATGGTGAGATAAATTTGCTATTGACTACATGTCATGATTTGTGCATGGGAATTCACTGAAATGCACACATGACAGGAGGCAGATGGAGTGGAGAGAGAGAGTGAGAGAGGAAGCGAGAGAGAGAGAGAGAGAGAGAGAGAGAGAGAGAGAGAGAGGAAGAGAGACAGAGAGAGAGAGCACTGAGGTGTGCCAGGTAAGAGTCAGGATTTGGCACTGCAATAGTTATGTAAGCACTTTGTTATCAGCTGGATTTCTACTGTATTCTACCAACTGCCATGGTAACAAGATCAAAAGATTCTATTGTGTGTGCGTGTGCATAGGAGTGAGCTGACAGAAGGGAAAAAAAGACAAATGCATCGTGTGTCTGTGTCAATGTCATCTTTGAGCTGAAAAGATGAGTGCGCGTGCGTACCCGCGCGAGAGCGTGTGTGTATGTATTCACGCGTGACAGAAAGCGAGAAATAGATGTGAGAGTGTTTGTTTAGAGCTGTGATGGAAGTGTTAGAATAATATTTATAAAAAAGGGATCTTTTACGTCGATGATAAGACATGGGAGTCTCAGGAGGTACACATGATATAAAATGAATGGAAAGATATATTATACATGTGTGTGGGCAAGTATGTCACTCAGTGACAGTACATGAGATACAGTGAGGTGCGAAAGTTGGAGACCACACTTCATTGGTATATAATTACCAGTCAAAATGGCCATTAAGTGTAAGTTCTTCATTTTTCAGAAAACAAATATTTAACAGAAAATGACACGTTTCAATGCTAACTAAGTGTAGCTAAATGTAATGTCATTTTTGCCACTATATGGTGTGTCCATACTCTGCCTTTATTACAGCTTCTATTTTTTTCAGAAGATTTTCTTTCAGTTTTTCAAAGAAATCTGCAGGGATATTTTTCCACACCTCCGAAGTTTAGTCTGTGAAGTTGGTTGCATTTTTTGACTCTCACAGTCCAAGTAGCTTCAAACACATTCAGTGATGTTGAGGCCTGGGCTCTGGGTGGTCAGTCCATTGTTCTGACAAGCAGCAGCTTCTTCTGTTTGCTTTGCAAATTTTCTACTTTCTTTTCTCAGTGAGGGCTTCTTGGCAGCTACACATCCTTTCAGACCCAAAGTGTTGAGTTGTCTTCTCACAGTGGAAGGATGGACAGAAACACCTGTGGATGTTTTCAGACCTGAATCAAGAGTGGAACTTGATTTTCTCCTCTCTCTCACAGATGAAAGCTTTAATTGCCACATATCTGATAGGGGCAGTTTTGGTGGTCTACCCAGGTCTTGCGTGGTTGTTAGTAGTCTCATTTTGAACAAATGAACTCCAGTTTTGGAAGCTCCTGTTTTTTACTTTCACTTTTTTTACTTTTCACTTCTTTATTCAAGTAGAATATCTTATATCTAATATGCTGGTCTCTGACTTTTGCACAGTACTGTATAAAGAAAAAGATGTGTGTCTGGAAGCTCATGACTAAAGAGGAAAAGTGTGTGTGTGTGTGTGTGTCTGTATGGAATAACAAAAAATGACCCTGAGTGTCAGAGTAAAATCTGCTCGTCCCTGACTCTGTCCTGTCCTTCACTGAGAGGTGCTGTAAAGCTTAATAAAAAGAAACTAAGGTGAGTGAGAGAGAGTGTTACAGAGAGAGAGAGAGAGAGAGAGAGAGAGAGAGAGAGAGAGAGAGAGAGAGGGGAAGAGGACATTCTCAGGAGAGAAAAGCTTAATTAGAGCAACTCTCTCTCTCTCTCTCTCTCTCTCTCTCTCTCTCTATATATATATATATATGTATGTATATGTGTGTATTCATAAATTCTTGGCCCATAATGCCTCCTTCGTTCTTCATTAACTTCTTTCCATTCAGCAATGACACAAATACATGGCAACTGTTGCCAGGCTAGACAATCTTTACAGAGTGCTGACACATATCCTATTCAACCTAATAAGAAAATTTAGCATACTGTATACACTAAGTTTCCAGTTTAAACTGCTGCCTATGAGCTGGACTGTGTTGTTGCGGCTCTTTGAAACTGGGCAGCTGGAAAAAGAAAAAGAAATGGACACTTGAGCCGAGGCCTCAGTTTGAGTTGCAAGTTGACTGACTCACGACTTGACTTGAATTTGAGTTAAAGAGTAATTCCATCATTTTTTTTTTCCAAATTCCTGCATAATTCATTTATGAATTGGCAAACAAAGTCATTTGAAGTAATTTGATACGAAATGCATTGAGTCAGAATGTTTACAGTGGCGGAACCAGACGTCTGAAGTGTTTAATGCCCCAGAGAGCTGGATTACAGAAATATGAATATGAATATGTTACAAATGCACTATTTGTTGTCTACAATATTTTTTTTATGATAGTTTTGAGAGAAGGTTTTAGCCTAAAACATATTTTTAATACCTATTCATGGTGGAGAGGTACACACAGTGTGTTGTAATTAAAAACAATTTCCAAGAAGGGAAACTTTCATATTTAGCACTATTTTACCTTTATTAACATACAGAAAACTTGTAGGTTCAATGCAAAATGTGTAACTTGGGGAAATGTGTAACTTGGTTGTTTTGGACAGTGAATAAAATGCCTAGATTTGAGTTGCAGGCTTTATGAAGCCTGGTACCTATCACCTCTATTGTAAAGGAAATCAGAACGCTTTGAATGACTTGGACTGAATAATGTCAAAATATTGAAAATTTGGTGTAATTCCTCATTAAGACTCTCAAACCTTGTCAAAGTTGCTACAGCTCAAAGTTTCACCTGCGGCTCGCGGTGGCACCAGGTTCAATATGGCTGCAAATAATGAGCCTGTCATTATGGAAAAACTTTCATTCTGATGGAGAGAATGAAGCAGTAAATGCAGTAAATGTGCTGTTTAAGGTAAAGAGGCAAAACAGCTTGAAAAAGTTGGCTTTAGCATTTAGGCTAGCTAGCAGAAAAACTAATTTAAAAGAAGTTTCAATAAGTTACAGATCCCTGTACCTCAGCTCGAATAGCGGTTATCATACTTACTACATAAACTACAGACTAACCAGCCATTTTTTCAGTTCGTCTCTTT